TAATATATCCCCAGGTAATTCACCACCATTCCAATCGGAACATCCCATCTGAACAAGATTCGTCTCTTTTTAAGTTCATCTGCTAAAAAAGCAAACTCCTTTCTTCTTCTTAAAATTTTAGATGGGATCTCCTTTAGAATTATAACATCTTGTGAAGCAATTTGAAATCTCTTCTTATAAAAAGCTTGTATAATTTCGTTGCGCAGGGATCTTTTCCCAAAGTAAATTACCACATCTCTTGGCAAATTCTTTTGCACTGCCACCACAGAGTTAACTCTAAATAATTTTTCAATTTCACTAAGTATTTCCTCTTTTTCTTTATTCAAAATCACAGCAAAGTCCTTTGCAACCATCTCTCTCAGATCTCCTTGCACAGACTCTCCCAAACCTCTGGATTCTTAAGGCATATTCCATTTGTCTATATTGAAGCATAAGAATCTCATTTTCCATTTCTTTTTCCATGCTTTCAAATTTTCCCTCCATCAATTCCACTTTTTCTCTACCTCTTCTACACGAGAGTTCAGCTTTTCAAGAACAGAGGCAACTCCTTTTAGAGCCAAAACTATCTCTTGCCTCAAAATCTTATTATTTTCCTCTAAAATCTCTTTCATTTCTGCCCTAATTTGAGATATAACATTTCCCATCATATCTTGCAAATCCTTCACAATTATTGGCTGTACCAAGGAAGAGGGTGAAGCTATTGATTTAGGATGTTGCACTGATGATAACACCGAAGAAGAAACCACCTTAGGAGCTGTAGGAATTACTGGACGCTTTGGAGCCATCTTAAAAAAAATCTCTACTCCTTCTTAAAAATTACAAAAATTAAGCAAAAGAAAAAGAGAGATTAAGTCCAAAAAAATTCAAAAAATCCTTCAAAAGGAGATCATTATAACAAAAAAATACTGAACGCTTTGGAGCCATCTTAGACAAATCTTTACTCCTTCTTAAAAGTTACAAAAATTAAACAAAAGAAAAAGAGAGATTAACTCCAAAAAATCAAAAAATCCTTCAAAAGGAGATCATTATAATAAAAAGAAAGGAGTTAAAAAAAGAAAAGGGAAGAAGAAAAAAATAATTAAATAGAAAAAATCCATTCCATTTTTTTAAAAGTACAAAACAAAACAAAAAAGTTAAACAAAAATAATAATGCTTCTAAAATCCAAACCCAACATCAAAATCAAATCCACATTCCGTTCCAATCATTAAAAAAAGGAAAAGGATAAAAAAAACACCAAAAAGCCTGCCGATCGCCATTCTACCTTCCCAAAGGAAAAAAACAAAAAACCGAAAGGCTTGCCGATCGCCATTTTACTTTCCCTTTCAACAAAAGGAAAAAAAATAAAAAGAGGGAATATAAAAGTAAAAGTAAATCTTTAAACTTAAAATCCAAATAAAATCAAAGAAAGCAAAAGCTAAATCCTCTACTCAGCTCTGTCCGCCTCTAAAAAAAACTCACCAGTTCACTTTAATCGCGGAGGTGGTTGCAGCGGCTTGTTTTGTCCCTAGGGACAAAAGCAGCTGGGAAGCGGAGACAGTCTGAACTCCGTGGGAGCACTCCTCTCACCCCCCCAAAAAGCCTTGGGGGTGCATGAGAGTGGCTCTATCACTATTCAGACAACCCTCTTCCCCCCCCTTTGCCCGGGAGGGGGATTTTGAACTGCTGAACAGCTGATGGCCGCTGTTCATAGCGATTCAAACACTTACCCAGGAGGACGGCTTATTTCTCTACGTCTTTGTAACCCTTTTTCCCTAAAAACTTTATTCAATTGAATCAGGATTCCCCTCATATATGCTTTACTAGCGTCCCACACCATAGACATCGATGTTCCCTTATTCATATTTATAATAAAAAAGTCCTTTAAATGTTCTTTACACTTTTGTACGAACTCCTCCCGATTAAATAAGTTCTCAATCAGTCTCCAAGATCTTCTATTCCCATCTTCCAAATATAACTCCATCCACACAGGACTATGATCTGACAATGTTCTGGGAAAAATTTTCACCTTCCTCACTCTAGGGAGGAAGTCACTAGTAATAAAAAAAATCAATCCTTGAAAATGACTGGTGTCTATCAGAATAAAAAGTAAAGTCTCTGTCACTTGTATTCCTTTCTCGCCAAATATCAATAAGCTCCAGTTCTTCCTTCAAATCAAAGAAAGTCATAGGTAGTTTAGTTTGAATAAAAGTTTTAGAGGAACTTCTTTTGTCTATGGTTGGGTCTAGAACCCCATTCCAGTCACCCATCAAAATTACCGATTTATAATCCAACTGAGATATCTTGCCATGCAGCAACTTATAAAATTGTTTCTGTTGTTGATTGGGAGCATATAGTCCAACAATAAGAACCTTTCGGCCTTGTAATAATAATTCCACAAAAAGATATCTTCCTTCAGAGTCAGCCTCAATTAGTTTAGCTGAAAAAGTTTTCTTCACATAAATTACCACTCCCCCTTTTTTCCCAGGGGCTGGAGCAGTAAAATGTGAGCCCAGACGGGAATTCATCAAGAATTTAGAATCCTTTAAAGTTATATGAGTCTCCTGCAAACATATCAAATCATTATTATGTTGTTTCAAATAATGGAATATCTTTCTTCGTTTCTGTGGCACATTTAAGCCATTAACATTCCAGGTCAGGAACCTGACCATCTCCACTGGCCTGGAGCCTCTGGAGCATAGCCTGCAAATCTGCTGTCGAAGATCTTTTTGGTCTTGCTCCTCCCACAGGCTCTGTAGCAACCAAACTTTCACCACTCTTCTGCAACTGCTCTTTTTCTTTACGTTTATGGGCAGCTCGTGTCATCCTTTGCTCTTTTATGTCAGAATTCTGTGCAGCTTGTTCCATAACCATCATTGATGAGGCTCCTGCCATAAGAGACTCATCCGTCATCCTTATTTGTGGAGGTGGTGACAATCTTGCTTTTAAGATAGACTGATAAAAATCTCTTGCTTTGGAAACAGTAGTTAATCTATGACGTATCCCTTCACAATTTACTATTATTCCTCTTGGAATCTCCCATCTGAACTAAATTTGACGATGTTTTAGCTCATCAGACAAGAAAGTAAAATCTTTTCTGGCTCTTAAAATTTTGGGAGGTATCTCTTTTAAAATAATCACATCTTGATCAGCAATTTGAAACTTTTGTTTGTAAAAAGCCTGTATAATTTCATTACGGATAGATCTTCTGGAAAAATAAATAACCACATCTCTTGGTAGATTTCTCTGTCTAGCAACCCGTGAATTAACTCTAAAAAATTTTTCTATCTCCTTCTCAATTATTTCAGGCCGCCAGCCAATATTAGGAGCAATATCTTTCACAATAAGCATCTTTAAGTCCTCCTGAGAGTTCTCTCTCAGGCCTCTGATACGCAATGCGTGTTCCATTTCCCTATATTGTGAAATGATTTGTTCATCCTGTGTAATTTCTATCTTGTTCTCTACCTCCTGCATTCTAAATTCCATCCTTGATGCATTTTCAGTAATCTTTTCCATCTGGTCATCAATCCTCTCTATGTGCAGGGCTAAGCCCTGAAAGGCCAGAAGGATATGGTCTCTTACTTGTTTGTTCTTTTTCTCCAATAATTCTTCTGTATTAGCCCTCTCTGCAATTATAAGATCTTTTACCTCCTCCTTAATATCCAAGGCATGCTGTTTTAAAGCATCTTGTAAATCATTAAGAGAAATTGCAGGAGGAGGAGGAGAAAGTGGAGGTGATTTTGGTTTCTGAGATGCAGGCTGAGGCATTGGAGAAGAAATAGGAACCTTAGGGGCGGGAGGCAGATGTTTTGAAGCCATTTTCTAAAGTTCCAAGAAGAAAGATTCTTATTGAAAAAAAAAGACACAGTTCTTTTAAATATTCTTAGAAAAAAAAATAGAGAAGAAAAAAGAAGAAAGGATAAAAACCAAATTCTTACTTCTGTGTTTAAAAAGTTAATCTGTATCCAAGTTTAACTTTGTAATGCAAATCAGGCAAGAAAGACGATCGCCATTTTATTTTCCACTTTCCCTTTCTTCTAAAGGGAAAGTGAACAAAAGAAGAGGAAGAGGAAACTTGCCGAGGTTAAAGGCACCATCAAACTTGAGCACAGTCTCTCCTGGTCTGCTCCGTCTGCTTTCAAATACTCACAAGCAGCTGGAAAAAAAAAGCAGATGTGGAAGCGGCAACTTGCTTCATCCCAAAAGCTTCAGAATGAAGTCTCCCTGGAACGCGGAGTTGCTCAGGCTCTGAGGGAGCTCTACCCTCCGATCCCCAAAATAACAGGAATCCAGGGGAACTCTTACCTCTACCTGAGAGCTCTCCTCCTCCCTTTTTCCCAGGGAGGAGATTCAAGCCGCAGGACAGCTGATTGTCAAAGTCCCGCGGCTTTTACACGCACCAGGAACGGGCGGCTTTGTAAAACGCCGCCATTCGTCGTCGCTGGAACCACTGGAAGTCCCACCATCTTACTATCTTAACAACTTCAGTGATTCACTTAACAACTATGACAAGAAAGATCGCAAAATGTGGCAAAATTCCCTTAACAAATGTCTCACTTAGCAACAGAAATTTTGGGCTCAATTGAAGTGTTAAGTCAAGGACTACCTGCATTAAATATTTTTGTAGTTTATGTATTTATAAATTATGGCAACACGTATACACTTATTCCTCAGTATACTGTAAGATTGGAGAATAGCTTTTTTTTAACAGTGATAGTAAGAGTACATCCTAAGTAACAGATTTAGAAGTCTGAGAGTTCTTTAAATTAGATTTAAAAAAAAAAAGTATAATTAACCTTTGGTGATTAAATTTGGAACAGAGACTGATAAAGACAAATTCATAGATAGCATATTTTTTGAAATTGTTACAGTGTTTGAGTTGTACTTTCAGAGTTCCTATAACAAATAAATTGGGCTTTGATTTTAGTTTGATGTTTGATTTTTTTTAATAATTTGATAATGTATTTGATAATGTTGTGAATTCACACAACTTTACTAATAACTCAATCTACTTCATTTACAGGAAGTATCCATCAAAGCTTGCTTGCTTCAACAGACAAAAAAATTAATGGGCAAAATTACGGTTTTTAGGTAGGTAGATATTTTCCTAGTGTGTGTTAGGTGATTTTTTTAAGGAAGATTTTTAAGTGGTTGATAAAGTATTTCTTTGCTAAATATTTGAAGAAGTTTAGGAATAATAAGATAGATATGTTGTATATTTATTTCTTGTGTTAAATATATGTAAGGTTGAAAAAATAATGTCTAAATAGGAATGTAGCTCCTGAAATAGATTTAATGTAAGGCCATGATACTAAAATTTAGTTCTCTTTAAATTGAATTGGCAATATCTTATTTGCTGCTGTTTGCATTCTCAATGAATCATACATGGCAATTAATTGTAATATTTATAATAATTTTAACTTACAGCATTTTTTGTACAATATATTGAAAAGCTTAAACTTTCCCGAATGCCCATTTTTCAAGATAATGAATATTTATTTTAATCTTAACATTTAATTGTCTAGTCATATTTGCTAAAATTCCTGAGTTGATGATTTCTTTATTGCAGGGGAGTTGGTAAATTGTAAAATCAGTATCAAAATTTTAAAAAACAGTCTCCCCTCCCCTATATATTTTGCCCAATAGAATAGCAGTTTCATACTGCACATCATAGTTGGTCAGGAAAGAGTGATTGGGAATGGAAATTAACATTGCAATCATGTGATACTAGTTTTTCTTCTCTAATTGGAGCACCCTGTATTTAATGTGGATTCTTATCTGTAAATTCTGAGAGAGTCACGATGTATAAACAGTTTTTCCTCCAAAGCAGTCCAGACGTGACAGCATTTTCAAGAAATATCCTGGCTTTTTAATAGTTATATTACATATTTTATATAGTACCTTGAAAGAAGCATTGTCTTGGTTGACAAGTCCAATGCTAGAGAAGCTACTTCCAAAGTGGTTACTTGTTTTTACTGGATCTTTAATCCTTGACTGAATGATTTAGATAATCTGGAGAATTATGGAGAAAGAAAATCTTGCATCTCGTCTCTCTATTGGCTGTTTCATAATTATCTTGTCAGGTTGTCTTATAGTCCAGGGCTTCTCAACCTTTTCATAGCTTGTATCATTTTTAGGACATGACAATATTTGAGTACCACCAGTGCTTTAGCAAGGTTTCAGAAACTTGATGACTAAAAAAAAGGGGGGGGATTTTGGGGTTTACTGATAAGATTCATTTGTTGTTATAGAAATGGCTAGTTTATAATATTATAGAAAAGTAAGAACTTGAGATTCAATGTTAATGTTTCCTTTTACTGCAACAGAGGAAGTCTGTTCTTTTTCCCTTTCCCCCTCACTTCCCCCCCTTTTTCCTCCCTACTGTGTCCTGCTATTTGCTTTTGTATTTTTGTATTTTATTCTATAACCTAATAAAATATTACAAACTATAGAAAAAAGGGAAAAAGTACCAGTTTTAATTTCTTTGGTGGCTGTTCCTTTGCTGAATCACTTTCCCTTTGCACTGACAAATGTATGATGAATTTATCCATTTTTTTTTTTAATATGCACCACTACCAGCTAGTTCAGGGGTCTTCAAATTTGGCACTTTTAAGACTTGTGGACTTCAACTCCCAGAATTCCTCAGCCATCATGGCTGGATGAGGAATTCTGGGAATTGAAGTCCACAAGTCTTAAAGTTGCTAAGTTTGTAGACCCCTGAGCTAGCTGGTCGGCCCTTCTTCCTCTCTCCCTTCTGAGTATAGTAAGAATGCGCACATACGTATACCCTTCCCTGTACCCTTAAAGACACAGAAATCAAGTGCAAAGCAAAAAAGGCTCACAAAATAAACTCTGTTTTTTCTTCTTCTTTAAGCTGTCTCAAGCAAGTCACATGTCACAGTGTTGCAATTCGAAACTGAAAGGCTCTGGCAATTGCAAAAAGCTTTAGCTTTAAATTAAGCCTATTTGCCTTCAAAGAAAACTTTCTAAAAGCCATAGACCAGGCATGTCAAACTCGTGACGTTGCACAATGTATCACAACTTTTTCCCCATTGCCGGCAATGGGGTAGGCGCGGTTTCAGTATCATGCATCCGGCCCATGGGCCGGCAGTTTGACACGCCTGCTATAGACAGACTCAATTAAAGGGGGTAAAATTAATTACATTTGTTTAAAGGGATTAAAACTTTCCCTGTTATCTTTTTCCCCCCTTTCCCGTCCAAACCACCACCTTTTATAGCCTCTCCTCTCCTCCCCCCCTTTCTTCAGTTCACCTCCAGCTCTGAGCTGCTTCTGGAAGCGCCAATCAGCTGGAGCCCTGCCGGCTCCTGGGGCCTCTGCCGAGCCCAGACAGTCCTGCAGCTGCCTCTACCTCAGGCTTGGGTAGCTTCGGCTCATTCCCCTCCCCCACTACACTTCTCTAGGATGGTCGTGTATCACTTGCCATGTGTCAAAGTACCACAAGTGATAATGTGTACACTGGTTGAAAAGCCCTGTTACAATCTACTTGTTGTTTCATAAATCCATCTTTGTAACTGTAGATTTGAGAGTTTAGCTTACCAATACTGAAGCTGAAGATTCTTCTATCTATAGTTACCTGGATATTTAATGCAGTAGCCTGAAAGCTGGGGAAGAAAATTATGATCATCCATGTTGGCTCTTTCAATCGCTCTGGGTCTCTGATCTGGACAAATATCAATTCAGAATATATGTAATTTGATTGTATGCATTTATTACATTATTTGGGTAGCACTAACTGAAGAGCAACATTTGGCAATTAAAGATATTTCCACTATAGCAAAAATTATAAAGAAAACAATAAAAAATTGAAATAATTAAATAAAACTAGTATTACTATCGTCACATGGTTATGGCAGTCTTTGTCCACCAGCACATGAGCAACATCAGTCTAAATTAATTATAGTTTTCAAGTAATTTTTAAACACAGATCAATGTGTGGCATATTACCTAGTCCATCCTCTTTAGTGGTGAGGGTGTAAGTCACAATTGCCACAAAATGCAAACATTTATTGGATCGTAAAATTTTTGAGATTGAGATTGATACAGGATTTTGGGGTCAATGTATTTGAGCTTTTCTGGCTAACATTTGGGGACTGTAGTTGAAATGTTGATAACATGTTACAGACATTCTCACAAAACAATTGCTGTGATTGGATGAAAGTCATATGATGGCTTTTTACCAGAAAAATAATAAGATTATGCCCCATCATTTCCTTGATTCTTGTTGGATGCTTTTTAAATTCATTTTGGGGGTGCAGCAGGAGATTAGAGTTCAAGTATAAAACTGGGCCACAGGCTCGTCATAGCTGTCTTTTTAAAATGCCTCAACTGTATTTGGGGATCCAGTCCTATTCTTGAAAATAATATTTAAAAAGTATTCTTTGTGTTTGTGCTTTGCAGCATGGTAGTTTCCTTCGTACTTTTAAAATAAAAGAATATAAGTCAAATCAAGTAGGTGCAGAGATGGAGATGTCTTTGGTTGGGTTTCAGGGTCCAGCTGACAGGTTCATTTCCCTTTCTCTCTTCCCATAGTTTCTAAGGAATCGGTACCAATTCCAGAACTGTATTATCTAGTGTAGTTCAGGATTTCATTGCCATCATGACTAGTGTCTTTTCATTGAACTGATAGGTATTGGTGTATTGATATATCTTTAATATGGTTGGATAATTTCTACTGATATTTAGGTTTTCAGGGACTTTTCCTGTTTACAAAGATTGATAATCCATTTATATGTAATCTGGAATTAAAAAGATTACTGAAGGCTATGACAGCTTTGCTCACCAATACAATTAATAGATTTGTTGAAATCTTAGTTTTTCTCTAGAATGAGGAGAGTTTTTCCATTGAAAAGTGTATATAAATGCACTTACAGTTATAGAGAGGAGAGTTTTTCCATTGAACAGTATATATAAATGCACTTACAGTTATAGTTCATAAAAACAATAAAATTCTGTAATATACACAACTAATTAAAAATAGTCAAGCAATAATACAGAGAGGCATTTCAGGGGCAAAACTCTGCTAAATCCCAAGTGCAAGGATAAAAAGCTAATTCTCCAGCAACAGAGATGGAGAATCCACCAATGGGTTAACTCTGCCTTCCTGCCCATTAGACTAAGTCAGCCAAATTTTCCACGCCCGTCCTCGGGTGACCACTCCCCATTCTTTTTTTTTGTAAAAAGTTTTTATTTTCAATTTTACAATACATTACATTCTTAAAAATACTTCAGATAAAAAATAAAACAAATTGATACACACAACTTTCGGTATTGCTCACCCATTTCCCCACAAACCCCATCCACCCTCTAACCAACTTGCCTCTTTCCCTCTTCTTCCTCTTCCTCACTCTCCCCCTCTCCTCCTTCTCCTCAACCTTCCTACTTACTTCTCCCCTTCTTCTATCTTCTCGCTCCGGATGCGATCCAGGGGAAATGCCCGAGCAATTCCTCTCTCCAAATTGAAACATCAATATTATATACAATACAATATTTCTACTTATCTGAACTACTTATACTTCAACCCATCCTCCCCCATCCCCTCCCCCCCCCGACTTCCCAGAACCAAGTACAGGGTTATACAAACATTAAACATAATCTATTTAAGTTTACTAATTATACAATAACCAAAATCATACTAACCCTTAACTCTCTTCAAACTTTAACATCATAAGTTTATAAACAAATTCATTACTCATAAAATAAATGAAACTTTGTAGTTCCATACTTTTTCTGAACATATTCTATCCATCTTCTCCATACATTAAAATATCTCTCTTGTGAATGGTCCTTTAAATAAGCAGAAATTTTAGCCATTTCTGCTAAATTAGAAACCTTAAATACCCATTCTTCTAAAGAAGGCAGAGTATCCTTTCAATATTGATCCACCAATAATCTTGCTGCTGTTATTAAATTCAACATTAAAATAGTTTCTTTAGCATCAAAATCCACAAAAATACCCAAAGAAACAACTGGGGAGTAAACTTAATCTTCCTTTTAAAAACTTTTTGAATGTTCCACCAAATCATAATCCAGAAGGCTTTAATATTTTTACAAGTCCACCAAACATGAACAT